TTCAGTGTCAGTTGTGAAGAAGATATACAATGCTAGGAACAAACGTGTTTTGGGGGCGTGGCAGAGGTAACACCCTATGAAACAGGTTGGAAGGTCTCTTGTTCATGCTTATCAACAGTATATATTCCCCTTGCCACATGTCCATACATGTAGGTATAGGCTTGGGCGGTTTTGCTTAAAATCAAAACCGAAAAACCGTCTGATTCTAAACCGGAAAATCGGGTTGTTTCCCCTTTAATTTTTACTTCAACTGAATGGGAAGGAATTGTGGTATTTTTCTAACGTAAGCAAACGAACAGTAGACGACAAAACGCAAAATTGTGTAAAGGTAACCTAAACGACTTCAGTTTTAAAATAAAAGGGTCAAGAACGCATTTGAAAACTTATACCTATTTAGTTCTTACCGACTTTTTATTTAGTGTTATGTAATTGAGTTTAAATAAGTGTCATGTTTTGAGAATTAAGATGACAGAAAACAATTACGTAGTGACGGTTTTACGGTTTTTGTAAAAGCTAAACCGAAAGAAAACGGTTTGAAATTAAAACCGGTAAACCGCCCAAGCCTATGTAGATATTTAACCCATTGAGTCGCATTGCGCCCTACTTTATTGTTTTACTCTGTCTGACGCCAGACGATTTTACTCGTCAAGGGGAGGGCGCTGGTGCTTAATGGGTTAATGTGCCTTCAAAAGCATCCGTGGAAACATAAACCTTTGTCCTCCATCTCAGTAAGTTTCTTTGACCTCAGGCATGTAATTTGCTTTTAAGGTAGTCTTTGGTGGAAAAATTGTCGGTTTAATGTCCTGGACATAAAAAATTTGCTCCAGGTCAAAAAGGGCTCCCAAAGCGACGATAAAATTTTATTAAATTTTTTCTTGATACAAGATTGCTTAAATGAGAATACAATTAAATTCCAGCTTCATCAGTGCCGGATAATATGCAATATAGTGTTATACATGTATATTGTAAACTCCTGTTTTACAATTATGACGTCATAGGGCACCCTGGGAAAGTTTTCTCCTGGGCCCTGCGCAACCTCTCGGTGGCCCTGTACAGCATGACAGCTCATTGACAACAGAACAAGATCTGTTCGTCTATCATTACTATATGACAACTGTTTTTAACAAACCTTTTTTATTTGGGTGTTTAGTCATGATAGCCGGGATTTCTTGCAGGCCCTCACTCTCCGTTCTTTTTTCCGCTTCAACGAGGACTTGCCACGCAGGCTATGAATCATCTAGTTCAATAGTTACTCCATAGTTTGCGGAGTCAACAGAAGTGAAAACCCTTCCAGTTTCTTTCACTTTCACTGAAAGAAATGACACTGTATCAGAGCCTGAAATAACGGCCGGCGGTTTTCCGACCAAATTCCAGTTTTTTCGACCAAATGCTGAAATGATCGGAAGTTTCGTCCGGACAAATGTTGAAAAAAAATGATAATCTGTTGTTTTTTTTTAATTATCGGGTCGGCGCTCAGCACAGTGAGTGCAATATCTATAGTCTTATATTATCTTATTCAACTGGAAAGTTATCAAAGTTTCTTCGATCAGAGTATGCTTTAAACAAAGTTTAGTTAACTTAAATGTGTGACAGTGCATGAGTTACGAGTCAGAGTGACTGCTTTCATTGTTGTTAATTTGACGACCTGGAAGATAAAGAATGCGTTTCTTCGACGTTTCGAGCAAAGGCTCTTCATCAGGACAGTTAAATAGGCTGTTTATTACAAGTAGAGTGATTTACTCATTTACGGCATGCTTGACATAATTTTATACTCAACGGAGGCGATCAAACTAAACTAAAAAATTTCCGACCAAATTTGAAAATTTCCGGTCAAATTTCATTTTGCTTGGAAGTTTTGCCGGACAAATTTAAAAATTATTTCAGGCTCTGCTGTATATGCGACGGCTATTAGAGGTGTTCATGTTTATTATATATAGAGTCACTGAGTCAGAGAGAGTGGGCGTTGATGTGTTAGCAATCTATTATTATTACATGTAGCTATATCAGAATACTTCAATCATGGTGCGATAATTCAAGCTTTTTAGACTACAAGTTAGAACAAGGGGCACAATTGCATGTACAAACACTACAATCAACACCAACAACATTCCTTAGCCCCATCAGTCCAATCGTGTTTCCGACCAAGATATATCAGACTTACACATAATAGCGACTTAATTGCGGTTTTGGATGCCTTGGACTTGGAAAAGTCACATGGTTCCATAAAAAAGTAAGTATACGGAGGTGGCCGAGAAAAGAAGTTACCTCCGGTACGTACTGTAAGTACGCGATTTATCAAGCGCCCTGCGATTTATCGCACTCTGGGTATGTTATCATGAACACTTACTAGAGTACCTATATTTTATATTTTTAGAATTAAGTGCGTCCAGTATGATAACAAGAGTGTGTGTGGTTGGACAACACAATCATGACAATCTAGAACTCAACAATGCTTTGAAGGTGATCAAGACTCTTCATTTTATCATCTGAATCGTGCCCCGTAATAGTACGTACAGTTTTTCGGTTTTGGAATGAAGATTCCGCCTTGATTTAAAGCTTCTCCTATACGTCGGGTTACTTCTGTTGTCTAATATACAGTATAGCGCGCGCTGCAGCTCTCAAAGAACGTAAAAATGCTTGAAATTACTCAGGCATTACTTTGTCATCTCTTGCATCTTCTTCCGTAAATCCGTCTTGCAGCTTCCTTTCATCCGTTTGAAAACATACCAGATCTTACCTCATTTCCTATCGTAATACATCTCTTCTAACTTCTCCGACGTTTATAAGAGTGTATAAACCATAAATTGATTAATCGCCATAATCTCGTAAAACGTTTGTTGAAAAAGCAGTACTGACAGATGCTTAGCAATCTTTAATTTTCTTGTTATATAGATGCTAGACGTGGAGGTCGTATACTCAGATGATGGCAGAGACATTGCAGATGCGTCGTGCATGTCAGATGCAGTCGAAGTAGTCTTCTTGTGTGAGCCTTTCGAAGGAGAACACTTTGACTACCTTTGGAAAGAAGACCATCGCATCGTCGGCTCGCCTGTTGTATTGAGCTGTGCTGATGAACGCCAACCACTGCCTTGTTCGTCGCGACCACTCTATTGTACTGTAATGTCAAATATTGTGGTCTGTTTTACGGGATTTAAAGAGAAAAGTAAACTGTCTAAGTTGTGCGCGTTGGTTCATTTCATGGGTGGGAGTGTACGAAGAGATTTCAATGGGAGAGTGACACATCTCGTTGCTAATTCTGTTCGTGGAGATAAATACAGGGTACGTATAGTCTCGTAATGTTTAACAGCGACTCTGGGTGTCAGCTTGCATTTTCTCCGAACTTCGATTTCCGTCGTTGTCCAAGGTGGTTTCAGTTCTTAGAGCATTTGGCTTACGCTTTTAAAACACTGTTTGCAACTTTCAATAGATGATTATTAAATTCTATACCGGCATGTATACAGACAGACAGACAAACGCAACTCCTGGTGGAGGTAATAAATGCGTTTGGTAACGAATGACTATAAACATAAATTTTAACCAATAAATATATATTCATATACTGTAGATATAAATTTTTTAAACTATATTATTTTTCTGATTCTTCAATAATCTACCTCCAATTCTGTGGCCTCTGTACCTGGATATGTCTCCACATGCCAACCTTACTTAACATTTTTTCCGCTTTGCCCGGCTCATGGAAATTTTCTTGAATGGATATTAAAGATTCCTTAAAATCCTTTTTTCACAACAATTCCTGGAAAATCTTATCGTATGCCTCATTTTATTTAGGCTGCTGTTGGCTTAGGAACGGGTATTATGACTGAAGAATGGATTCATAAATGTTGGGACATGAGATCCAATTTGTAAGTTTGCGGAGTGCTTCAGATCATCTGGCCCACTTGCAAATTTACGTGCAGGGGTCGGATATAATATTGAGAGTGGCTAATATTGAAATATTAATCCACCTATTTTAATGAAGCATTAAATTGCTAAGCTATTCAGCAAATACTATCAGGCTTTGAAAGAATACATAACCCAGTTAAGGTTACAGGACACCCTTTTTGGCGTTTTGCAGAAAACTGCTACAGCGCGCTCAATATCAGTCCGATTTTAATCAAATTTTCACCAAATGTTCGCCAGTGCATGCAAAATATGGTAAAGTTGTAAAATTAACAAACAATAAAATAATGTAAGAATTATTCAGGAAAATCTTAAATCGCGGTACCGTTACGCTTTTGAGTTGTGCTCCTGCTGGTAAGGTTTTAAGTTATATTTATGAAAATATCATTTTTATACAGTAAAATAGTTGTTCTAAAAAATTGTGTTCGGAAATTTTGTTTATTTCGTCATTCCGCTGATATGGCGATTTCTTTGACGACTGCAATATATTTCTGAATTGTTTGAGTGAATTGCTCTTTATTATTAAAATATACAAAATTAAAAAAAAAGCCGAACACTATTTTGAAACTGACGTCTTTAGCTATGTCCTGTGAAAATTTGAGAAAAATTGGTTAAAACCCGCAGGAGCACAACTCGTTTGAAAATCAGTAATTACCGCAAAATTTTTCGGGAGAAAATTGAATTTGAATATTACATTTTCAATGTTTTTCTTATTGCAGCGAAATGTATTTAATTAAATAACTCTGCGAGTTTTCAACATTTTTCGTTCAAACTTGGTCAGATAGTAGAACTAGTCTAATGCTTTCATGGAAACCAATAAAAAAATTTTAGGCAAAATTAACACTCAAAGGTGTTCTGTAACCTTAAACTATTTGTAATACGAGCTGGAGACTCCAGCATATGTACGCATGCAGAAAACGGACAGCACTATATACATCTTTAAACTTGATCTTGAAAATGTCTTGATGCGTGACTTGAAGATATTGAGATGACTAGAACTGGGATTCGCAGGCGCTCAAAATGTGGGAGTAGATTTTCAACCAATTTCTCATCTACATGTCCACAAATAATGTAAATTTGAAAAAGAGGCAAAACGAACTCAAAAGAGTTGTCAAGTTTGACCCCAGAACGATTATTTTGAGTTGGTTTGAATTTACAGTGTGTATGTCATTCGCGAAGTGTCCCAAAGCTTCTGCTCGTGCGTAAACCTCTGTGTTTGTATTTAATATAGAACGTGGCGAGCTGATAACGATGAAATGGTAGGTAAAACGATATAGATTCGGGAATGTGTATGTACAGTATACAGTTGCTTTGTGTAAAAATTGACCATCCGGTGTTTTTGTTTGCAACCTTTTAAAGTATACACAATGCCAATAAAATATTTAAAACTGCATGCATTAATTTGTGGTTTTTAGACGGACTATAAACTTCCTCCGTTTTTCGATTGTTGCTTGACGTTTATTGGCTTCTCAGAGGAAGAGAAAGCCCACATGGAAGAAACAACTATTGAGCAAGGTACTGCAGAATTATGCTATAACTTCAAAGGGTCCGAATGTCAGGAAATAGGTTTTGTGCGTCAATGAGTACATAATACATGAGTGCATGGACTTTCATGGACTGAGGAGTGTGATGCATGAGCCTTGGGCATGTACCAATATTTTTCAATCCTCATAAATTTAGGGACTGGGCACGAGTCAGGGACTGGGTACCTTTGAGGGACTGGGTACGGGTGTAGACTATAGAAGTAAGAAAATGACACAACAAGGGATGACAAAATGTGATAAAACTCTATTGATGCCCTGCGCACATCTATACAATCGTGACAGGCATAGTTTCTTACAGTATATCCCATGAAAAGTTCTCCTTGTGATAACTATTTTGTTGTGTTGAGCGTAACACTCCACAGCTTTAGATCTGTAAGCCCGAAAGCCCCGAATCGATATTTATCTGCCTCCCTGTGCAATTATTAAAGTTCTCTCTAACTGGTTGGAACTTATATGTATTAACAAGATCTGTGTGTGTTTAGGCGGTACGTTTTGCAGTCTTGAAGATAAGATATTTACTCATGTTGTTGTGGAAGATGGTGTTCAAGAAATACCACTGGAAGCAATGGACGTACCACATGTGAAAGTTGTTAAGCAAGAGGTACTGTATTTCTGCATGTCAAATAATAGTGTAAAGCAAATCCTTGCTATATAATTTGGCGAAAACGTCATATTAAACCAGGCTTTTCTATATAGGGTTTTCAGGATATTTTAGGGCCGCTGAACAACTTTATGTTTTGTTTAGTGCAGTAAAAATTGTTTGAGTTGAATTTTTGATGTGGAATATTAATGTTTCTGTCGAACGTTTGGCAAAGTGCAGTAAGAAAAGACAACCGGAACGAGACCGCATCTTTTGAATTACATGTACGCAACACAAGAAAAGCCGACCGAGCTAATACATCAACGTGTGTGTGTTATTTATTTTTAGTGGTTTTGGGCAAGTATTCAAGTTGATGCTTGTGCAGACACAGCTTTATACCTCTTTAAACAGGTATGTCAGACTGGTTGTAAAATAACCTTACAGTATAGGGCATGCCTACATGGTCACGCTTGCTGAAACGATGATTTTGGTGTATTGAAATAATTCATGGTTCAGCAAAACTGCATTCATAGTTTATATTTATACTTGGATTGTATTGTCTAATTGTAAGCGAAAGACAATTTTTTTGCAACGAGACATATGATTGTCATGTTGTTAAACAACTGGATCAAAAATTTTAGCTTAATGTTCGTGTAACTTTTCGTTTATTCTTATTGGGCTATATTTCAATATACCAAAATTATCCTCCCTCCCATACCGGAAAGTGGGATGAATGGAATGCCACTTATTTACTGCTTGACAAAACCTATCAAACAAATTTTAGCCCAATGCTGAACCTATACGATCATGCGGAACTCCGTCAAGCAATCAGAGAAGTCGAAAACGACGGAGAATGAAGGAGACGGATGTGATGGAACTACTCTCTCCAAGCTCTCCTTGTCATGCAGCAAAGAGAAAAAGTGAAGATATATTATCAGTGAGTTCATTCTCTGGTTCATTACTTGATGTCACCATGGCTTCTCCTGCGACTCCACAAGAAGGTATGTTGATTGGTATACCAAAACTGTCTGTACCAGTGTAGGTAGGGGCAGGGGTGGAAAAAATATTTTACTTTCTGGGACCGGGGTGGAAAAAATATTTTACTTTCTGGGACCGATTTCTTTGTAGATCTATTCAATACACCAAGTGGTCAAATGACACCCCGACATAAAACACCATCGAAAGTAATCTCACCGTTAAAACCAAAAACAGCGAGACATCAAGTTGCGTTAGAACTACTCCAGACAGAAAGAAACTATGTCGAAATACTTAATACAATATTGAAGGTATGATCTGAAAAATATATGAATTAGTTTCTGTGCACAAAAACTGAACCCTTATATTCTTCGATAAAAATTGTCCAAAGTGAATGCTTGCCCACCAAACAGGGTTTTTTTCAGGACTCTTGGGTTTAGCGAACCGTTTAGTTTCCCGCCTGTATTTTATATAAACTCTAACCAGTCTAACGTCGTTACCAAAGCCCACCCATGCAGCAACAAATCCTGAAATCCCCGTCAGAAACCTTGGCTAGTCGTTAGAAAAGTCGATCTTCGTAAATATACCATTTCTACAATTCCTACCAGTCCAAACAGCTGGGCATTCTGTAACTTTCTGTTGTCGCTGTCTAAAATAGTTCCTGGCACTTCCTGCCTGTATGAACAGGCTTTGTTATTGGTTGATTATAACAATCATATTTTGAACTGATCATGTTTCGAAAAAACGAATCATAAACACTGATCACTTTTTTCCCGAAAGCCAATCACAAAACGCGTTCATATTAAGTAGGTTGGTCACCAGCAGAAAGTAAGTCGAATACGTACGCAGATAGCGAGAGTACCGCTAGGCGTGGTTGAAAACAAAGAAGTACCAGGCTGTGATATTGGCGTACCTCCAATATACGCAAGTACGCGATTTACCGCATTCTGCTTAACTTAAGTCTTTATCGTGTTTTGCAATACATAGGTGTTCAAAATGCCTCTGGAACAAGAAGATCAGAGAGCAGGACCAATCTTGGCGCCAGAAGAAATCAAAACAATTTTTGGAAGTTTACCAGATATCTTGGAGGTGCATCATAAAATGATGGTACGTCCTTATTGACAATACATACGGTTACATGTATTTAAACCTGTTTTTATTTGAGGTACAAAATATCTTGCAATGCAATTAAATAAGTCATGCGGAGTGAGTCAACAATTTGTTTAAGTACGCATTCAATATTATTTCATTCTACGATCAATTATTGTGCATGATTTTTTTTGTAGGTGAAATTGGAAAAGATGTTGTCTTCGTGGACGGAAGATAAATGCATTGGGAATGTCATTCTAGAACATGTAAGTACCAAAATCGTTTCCTCAGATGAATGGTAAACGGTTATTGGTTTTTACTAATATTTTGAATTATAGGCTGATGTGCTGATGAAGGTGTATCCTGTTTTTGTGAATTTTTTTGAAATGAGCAAAGAAACGGTTGTAAAATGCGACAGAGAGAGACCGCGATTTCATGCTTTTCTAAAGGTATTTTAATAAACAATTATAGACGTACTCGACACTTGCAACCATTGGTTATGTTCTCTTATGTTATTCTATGACGCGCGATCGTTTTAGATTTGTCTTGGCAAACCTGAATGTGGACGACAAACATTAGCAGAGTTACTGATCAGACCAGTCCAAAGACTTCCAAGCATGAATTTACTTTTGACTGGTAAGTTATTGTGCTTTGACGTCAACACTCAAGTTCTACTTTTGCTGGAATGTGTCGGTCCCATGCATTTGGGATTTGGTTACAACCTAACGTTAACGTAGAAATGTATGTCATTGAATGATGTACTATAGATCTCATCTGGAAAAAATATCACTTATCATTGACAGACCTTCTCAAGCAAACAAGGAAAGCAGATTCTAATAATCCTGATATAGTCCCACTTGGAAAAGCTATTGAGGCTCTCAAGACAGTTATGACGTAAGTAATTTAGTTTTCAGATTTAGCCAACAAATGATATGACCATCATGATACTTACTACTTTAGTTTGTTTTTTATAGTCATGTCAACGAATATAAACGCAAGACTGATAGTCAAGTTCAGATGTTTGAAATAATACAAGATATCGATAACTGTCCAGTAAGCACTTGCGTTGTTTTAATTTGTTGCCATGCTGAGTCCTTTCACGAGCAGGCATTTACCTCTGGTTTCAGTGCATGGTGCAACTGAAGTGGAGTAAACTACTCCCCTTGCATGGATTCATCTGGGTAACCTCACAGGTTAACCCCAATAATATACTTTGCTTTTTTAGCATGCCCAACATCGTGACTGGTTTATCCGAATAATAGTCAACCCCAGTGTGAGAGACCGCCGGCTTATTGCTAACATCACCTACTGTATGCCGATTTGGACTGGTTAAACCGTCGCCATGCAGAACCGGCAATTGAAAAGAAATGTCTTTTAATAATTCATTCTATTGCTTTTTAGCCTAACATTTTATCTTCTCATCGTTCCTGCATTGCTAAAATGGATGGCTTTGAACTGAGTGATGTGTTTTGTGGTAAAACACAACCTGTTACGTTGTTCTTGTTCAGTGACAGCCTTGAGGTTTGTACTGTATATATCTTTACCCTTGAAAACAATGAATACGTACAGAATATAGCGACCATTAAAATAAACTTGCAAGATGATCGGTTCTCTCTGCATTTAGTGGTGACTGTTGTGCGGGCAAGGCATGAGTATAAAACTATTGTATTTCTGCCTGAGCCGAACGATCTAACGGATGATGTACAATTGTTTACATTCTTCTGGCTTTAGGTGACTAAAAGGCGTGGTGGTCTAAGCAAAAGTAGTTCTGCCCACTTTCCTATAAAAAGTCCAGCAAGTAAAACACCACAAAGAACGTACAAACATCTGGAATTTATTCCACTATCACAATTACGAAAAGTCGTCGATATCAAGGAAACTGAAGGCAAGTTATAAATCTCATGATCAATTATTATTCAACTTACCTTCCCCGCGTATCCTCGCATGAGCAACCAACAATGGTACACGTAGCCGGGGAACTGGTAGCCTGCGTACTGGGCGGTTTTAAGGGGTTGAGGGGCGGGCACTCAAAAATTAGGGAGGTACTTATAGTACATCTCTACTTGAAACCCCCATTTCCTAGCCTGCACGTAGCTGGCGCCTTGTCTCCCTAAGTTTTGACTGCCCACGCCTCAACCACTTAAAACCGCCCAGTACGTGCAGGCTACCAGTACCCCTATAGCTTAAAGTATTTTTTGAAGGTCATCGCATCATTATAAAGGCAGAAACTAATGGGGTGGAAGCATTCGCCCTACGGCCATTTCCGAAAAATAAGAATTTTAGACTGCCAATTGATAATTGTCACATTCTTAAATACCTTAGGTTGTCAGTTGTGTTGTATAGTTAACGTTACTGAATAATTAATCTAACCGCCATGTTGTCTACACCGGAGTAAAATGTTTACTGCAATGCAAATAGGTGTGACTTGGGAACATTGTATTTTATTTCAATTTGAACGTGAATTGCTCACTAAGATTAACAGAGTACATACACAGCAAAAAAGGATATGAATGCTCAACTACAGTGTGTTACACAAATATTATTACAGTTACTACACTGCTCTGACATAACTGTGAAACTTGTAAACAATAACACATTGTGAAACTTGTCTTTTTAGACAACCACGATCTCTTTGGGTTCATGTACCGTTCAAGCGATATGATTGAAAGATTTGCCATGTTGCGTCTAGTTCCAGATGAAATCACTAAGGAAGTATGGTTGGAAAAACTGGTCACTGGTCTCGCGAATGCAACCTCTATTGCTAACAGAGTAAGAAATCTTTACTTCGTCTACCAAGATCATTTCCTTCGACGAATAAATAGACTTTACTGTTTATTGTACTTTTTCCCCCAATGGGCTCGTTTTCATGTTTGCTTGTTTTGAGGCACACATCACCATGTTTCGTGCACGAGTATGTTTCTCTTTGATCTTGATCCAAACTACAAGCCCTTGAACCTATTGTGCATGATAACGAGGCCATTGGAGCAAGAGTGCAATAAACAGTATTTATTATATGGCAAGCATCACTTCCGGTGAAATGGAGGACTGTGATTGGCTGAGAAGCACTTTCAGTGGTCCATTATTTTCCCGTAATGGGCCGGCGGTCCATTACGTAAAACAAACGCATGCATTTTAAAACAAACCAGCAAAGCTAATTGAAAATTATAATTAAATTTGTTATTAATAAGATTCTACGAATGATTTTAGTGGAAAAGAAGGAATACATTGATATTTTTTGTTTTCTTCGACCAAATGTGTACCATGCTAGTAATATGCATTTCAAATCATGCATTTCTTGTTTGTTTCAAGTATAAACGCCTATAAATGCCATATAATAGACTTTTTATTAAAGTCGGACTTTTTATTAAAGTCGAAATATCGGACTTCGGTCTTTGTGTACAAACCTCGCCCCTACGGGCTCGGTCTGTACAAAAAAAACCTCGGTCCGATATTTCTCTGTACAGACCTCGCGTTCGGTTAATAAGAAGTTAATATCAAGATTTTTGTGGCATCTCACTTGAATGAGTAATATTTGAAGGGTGTTGTAGACGGAAATTGTCGAGTGGAAATTAAATACATTTATTAGACCTAATCAGGAACAGAAGAATGCAACTTTAGGTCCCTGACAGGAATGGAACCTGCGGCCTTGCGATTCCAGTGCAGCACTCTAACCAACTGAGCTACAACCACAAGTTCATGTATATATACTAGGGTACTGCCATGTAACTGAGTTACAACCACAAGTTCATGTATATATACTAGGGTACTGCTATGTAACTGAGTTACAACCACAAGTTCATGTATATATACTAGGGTACTGCTATGTAACTGAGTTACAACCACAAGTTCATGTATATATACTAGAGTACTGCTATGTAACTGAGTTACAACCACAAGTTCATGTATATATACTAGGGTACTGCCATGTAACTGAGTTACAACCACAAGTTCATGTATATATACTAAGGTACTGCTATGTAACTGAGCTACAACCACAAGTTCATGTATATATACTAGGGTACTGCTATGTAACTGAGTTACAACCACAAGTTCATGTATATATACTAAGGTACTGCTATGTAACTGAGTTACAACCACAAGTTCATGTATATATACTAGGATACTGCCATGTAACTGAGTTACAACCACAAGTTCATGTATATATACTAGGGTACTGCTATGTAACTGAGTTACAACCACAAGTTCATGTATATATACTAGGGTACTGCCATGTAACTGAGTTACAACCACAAGTTCATGTATATATACTAGGGTACTGCCATGTATAGATTACACCAAATTCAAATTAAGCCCCGTTTACACTACGCTCAATTTTTGGTACGGCACGGATAAAATTGGTACCCGTACCACTTTTTTGGTTCTTGGACTACCTATTGTACGGCACTACCAAATAGGACTGCCTAAATAGGTAGTCCAAGAACCAAAAAAGTGGTACGGGTACCAATTCTATCCGTGCCGTACCAAAAATTGAGCGTAGTGTAAACGGGGCTAAAGTCGCTGGAAAGCAATTGCAACGTACTCGTCCGGAATTTTTTTTTACCTAAAAAGTTGTCGACGGGGGGGGGGAGGTTTGTTGTCCGAAAAAATTATTTTCCGGAAAAAAAATTGAAATAGGGACCCCAGGCCCCCGCCAACCTCTCGGCGGCCCTGATTGTAGATGGAAATTGTCGAACCTAACCAAGAACAGAAGCGAAAAATGCAACTTTAGATCTCTGGCTCTGTTCACAGTAGGTTCTGTTTCTGGTTAGGTCTAATAAATGTATATAAATTTCCATTCGACAATTTCCATCTACAATCCCCATCAATAAACAGTACAATCTATTATCAGGTTGTGTTCACACTCGAAACCGCACAAAAATTAACACGATTTCACCTTTCGAGTTCACATGGGATGCATGAAACTGGGTGCATTCGTGCACAACTGACCATGTAAACAAGTGGATTTCAGCTGATTTACCATGATAGGGATTTACGTTAGTCTTTGAATATTTTATTATAATCTTTGAATTTTTATGTAGGCTGACTGCTTTACGACATTGGATGCCAATACATTGACGATAACCAAAAGTGATTTAGCTTTGACCAACCAATCAAAGATCGGTCGAGCTGTAAGGTATATATGATGGACGTTTTGGAATCTACGACTTTTACAGCTATATTTATAACATACGTGATAGACGGCACCCAATATCCCCAACTGGCATATAGGTCTTGCTGCTCTGTAAAATAAATGAATTATTCAATTATAAAGTTCTTTATTCAGAAAAAGTAATCGCCACATTAGTATGTGAAATTTTTAAAGCCGTCACGAAAATAACGTTATTTTCGGAGGGGTATACTTTTGGAATTCTACTGTATCTCTGAGTTCGACATCACCAATAAAAATTTATATTTCGCATGCGATAGTTGTCATTTTAAAATTCCATTTCTTTTCAATTAGGGTTGCAAAGAAAACGACAAAGAAAGTAAGCCGTGCGTTCTCCATGAACAAAACTCCTCGAAGTAAAGTGAATGTTGTCAAACGTTCCAACTCAAAGTAAGTTTTCTTTACTTATTTTTCTCACAACTAGCCTACAAAGTCTGCATTTTGAACATTTGGAAAATGGACAACCGCTAGTAGATAAGGCAGTTAACCCTTTGTTGACATTTAGTGTATCGCCTGGAGGGATGTCGTTAGGATGTGGCAGTCCACTTCAACCTTCTACGAGAGAGAATTTACGTTCAAGACTTCTTGGCACTTGTGAAGAGTCTACGGTATGATTGCTTTATATCATTTAAGTGGACGGACGCGTTCATGCAGTATATATTATCGATATCAGGATATTATTACCAGTACTCTCCAATAAACTGCCATGGTTTGTGCCTATGGTCAGTCGCGGACAGCCCCATCTGTTTTTGAACTGCTAAAATTGTCTCTCAAACTCAATATAACGGACATCTAATTAACACAATTTTAGAATTTCGTGGAAATTTAATGTAGAATTCTGCAGAATTTCATTTTGACTTGGCAGGTCAAAAAAATTTTCGCTTGCCATTTCTAAAATATGGCCTGCTTTTGGCCATTGGCATGCTGCTATTTTGAGCTTTGGTTTGGTTTAAATAATAGCCTATGAAGGCTTTCATAGTTGTATAAGCTTTCTGGTTTGGTTTAAATAATAGCCTATGAAGGCTTTCATAGTTGCTTTCATAGTTGCTTTCATACATTGTTACAACAAACAATGTTAATTGGCAATCTTTTTAAGAAATTATAGGGAGACTGATGCCCCCATCCCCCAGTACATGTCTGGCAATGCTAATGACAATAATACTCGAATTATGACTACCTGGGGTTAGGGTTAATAAACAGCAATTTAAGTTATGGTTACCAAAATATTCATGGTATGATCAACGAGAACAAAAGTGAATTATTGTTGAAATGGCATCGTACCACGTGAAGATATACCTTGCATGAAACTATACTTTAAAATTTGGCTGTTTTTTAAATGACAATGAAAGCTTATTATTGAAATAAAGTATTCATATTGCATTTCAGGGTAAAGAACTGCGATCTAACTACAAGATGATGAGCCAGTACATGAGTTCACCTTCGCTATTGCCGGGTAAAACGTAATACCACATGATGGATGCTGTGGATTAAACTGCGTATTGCGCATTTCTCTGCGTGGATGCTTCAGTAATGTCCTTCAGCCTTTATGATGGAAAACGTTGCAGAGCTTAAAAGGCAATTTCTTATGCCTTGTAAATATTAGTAATTATAGACATAAAACAAACAATATATTGATAATCAGCATATATATACAATAAAGTAATAACAATGTATTGATTGAACTTGAGACGATTCCCACCACACGTGGTTGTCGTATTGCACTGCAAATAAAATAGAACTATTTCTAAAGGAAGTGAATCATAAGCGTTTTTGAACACTTTGCTGATAACATAAAATTATTAATAATTATTTAATATCTCTTTAGAAATGAGCCATGTATAATTTTGCACTGTTATATTTTAGTAGTTCACAATTTGTTTAGAAATAAATATTTTTATAACAATTCCAAGTGTATTTTTCTGTTCTTTACGATATATTGTATGGGTCAGATGTACTGTATAACGACCGAAAGGCGAAACCGGAATATTACTTGTATACTATTTAACTGCTAACAATTTTGTAAATTATTTAATAATCTTACTGCATATTATTAACTTCCTGAACAATGCTGGTTTTGTTTAATTTAATAAAAACGATATTGCATTCACTTTCTCATTTGACATACGATACGGCTCCACTAAAATGGCACGCTCATGATTTCGAAGAAATTAAATACATGCTCATTGAGACGTATTCCAAATCCCAATCTATCTGACCGTATTTTAATAATAGCTTCAAATATTCAGAACTTTGTTCTTTCAGTCACAAGTAGTACAAGTATTATTGCATTCAGTGGACAATGCATGGTAGTATTTTATTCGGCTTTTAATTTGTATGTGTATTGATTAACTCGTAATGTATTATCTGGAGCCTATATTTAATCATACTGTGCGGCTTGCTAATGCTTCGTATTATTGTTATATACATTTCTTTATCCTGATGATGACTGAAATATAGTCGAAACGTTGATAAATATAAAAATGTTATCGATCTTTGGAGTTACACTTGTTTTATACATTTCTTCGTTGTACATTTCACGGCCTGCGTCAATTTGACAGTCTGTTTATTATCCCAGTCGACGCTGATTGGTTCGCGTTTAGCAGATGCGAAAAGGGGATGGATGAATAAAACGCATGGTTCCGTGCAGGCTCACCTTTCTCCCAGTGAGCCTGCTCGCAGGCTAAATTTTAGGCATTTTTATGCGGGAAATTAGGCGGGAATTTACTGTTTCGGTCGTTTCTGGATTCGGTCGTTTCGGTTTCCGTTCTTTACACTCAGAGACCCTAAAAATGCTCTAAAATACGCGTTTCTGATTGCTCAACTTTTCCAGTAACTATAATAGTTAATTTAGGTTAACCATGCACGTCATGGCAAAATAGGCAAGAGATAGACGAGCAAAGGCCTAGTCGATTGGTAGGTAGGTCACAAGGTACAAAGTTGGGTCCATTATTGTTTTCTGTTCTCAATTCTTTACTCAAAAACTGGCCTGGTAGGATCAAGTTTGTGGATACCTCAGCCCTAGAGATTATACCACGTTTTTCACCCAGTTTAATGCCAATAGTCGTAAATGAAATCTCAGACTACGCTTGAGAACACGGAATGGACCTAAATTATAAGAAATGCAAACAGGTGTTGATCAACTTTCTTAAATATAAAGGATCTGATGATGAAAACCCGATCTATGTTGCAGGAAACCGGTGGAAACTGTGTCCTCTTTCAAGCTCCTAGGTGTATGGATATCAAACGACTTGTCATGGAATCAGTGCTTCCATTTTCAAACCCAAAATTTCTCATTTTTGTCATCAAAATTTCTCTAAATTCCTTAGATTGTATACGTTATTTCCTTGAAAATTCCTTGAAATTTCATTAGGCGGTTTGCAGACCTTTGCAGTGCTTTTGTAGCAATACAAAGAATTTAATCAATTTTAAAGGCACAAAATAGCACAATTAACAAAGATAATTGCTAGCTAAAAAACCACAGGCTATTATACTGTTTAAAATTAAATATTTGTTCTGAGTTTACAACATATACCTTTCCATTGATATAAATAATTAATTATTCACAGCGTTTGGCGCCAAAAGATACCAAACCTGTCGCTAAAGAACTTTCGGAAGTTTTCGGAAACACGAGGAAAAAGTTAAAAACAGATTTTTAATTGAACATAATTGATAATTCACTCAAAAATTCAACAAATAGTGTAACTTTCTTCTGCCCTAATGCACTTGGATGAATATTTAAGTTGTTGGGAAAAAATCCTTAGATTTCCTTAGATTTTTTCTTTTCCTTAGATTTTCCTTTTCGACACTAGAATTTCCTTAGAAAAGGAAATTTCCTTGAAAATGGAAGCACTGCATGGAATACCAGTGAACTCTAATAAGACTGGAACGATAACTCAGGTAAACAACAGCTGGGCATTCTGTTGTCGCTGTCTAAATATTGCGGGCGCATTTCTTTAACAAACATTTTGATTCTTCGAACGCTGAAAATATGCATTGTGAGAGGATTTTTTGTCCTCTTTTATTGGTTTGTTCATGGAAAATAAAGTGTTTCTTGAAAGATTAAGTTGTAGTGCTTGTACGCAACGATATAACGACTTAATCTCGTGAAAACGTGCGAAGAATTTTTATTTACAAATGGGCGACAAGTGGAAATGTTTCACTCATTGTCAGAGTTTCAGAAGCAGGGTACAGCAGTATGGAAACAAGGAAGTGTTCATATCTTACTCTTGATAGAAGCTGAGTTGTTGTTATTTCCACAGGTATGTTCAATAATTTGTTTGTCCTTCCTCATCTGGAATAAGAAGTGTCTTAAAATACATATTTTGATGAAAATGACACATATTCCTCTTGCAATTTCGTAAAAACTGGCCGTTGCCTTCAGTTAGAAAATATATTTTATGAAAGTTAAATCATACTTTGTTTTATTAAAACCTGAGCTATTCATGGGAAAAATGTGCTAGATGTTGTAATTGACAAATCCACTTGTGAAATGAAAATGTCATGTTGTCACATGCTTATGAAATTGCTCCTGTATTGGTTTGTTATAAAGTAAAAATTGCTGCAAAAATGATTTTGAAAATGTTCAAGTATTGGTTGTTATGAGATAAGAAATGCCGCATTGATTTGTTCAGTTGAGTCTAACGGCAATCTTGAATAGAGGCATCCTTGCTTTGTGAAATTCTGGGGTGATATGGCATATAAATAAAAATATCTTAAAATTTTGCCCATTGCCTCTCTCCGAAATATGGCTTAAAACTATCCTTATTAATCAACCTTCATCGAAAAGTTAGTGGGTATGCTGGGAAAAATGCGCGCGGCACTTTTTTTGGACACTGAAGATGGTAACATTTGATGTTGTCATATATTGCCATCCTCTTATCATAGTATAACTTAACTTATTTTAGTGAGTTTGCTAAAGAATTGTGCTCACTATATGCCTGTAGTATCTAAGATTTTTTCATAACATTATATGACAAATTTAAGATCTGTTTTCTTTTATTTTTAGGTGATAGTATCTGTTCACTTGAGTGTTGGTATCAAATTTTGGACAAGTTTCAATTATTATTTCATATTCCTTTATTCAAATATCCAAATAAATGGAATATGACATCAAGCTGGAGGACTAGATTCTGTTTCCAAACTTTTTTTTGTAAAAATGGAAAATAACAACTTATTCTGTGTTGTTCTAATAAAAACTATTGTTTTTGATATGCATATTTAATTTTTAAAATTACAGTCATTCTTTGTCAAAATGTGTACCAGGAATACTGAAATCTTTCAGATCAGCTACCAATTCCGTTTATAACTTATGGAGCCAAGTGTTCTATCTATTTCTGTTCAGATTAAACAAATGATGGGTAAAATATTAGTTTAGATTCTTTCAAAAAAAATGAGCTTGTCTATTCTCAAAGCATAAAAAGCAATAAAATATAGCAAAAGTTTAAATTTAAAACCTTTGGATTGCATAGCTTAATGTTTACCACCAAATATTACAAAGTTTTCGTTCATTTAAATGTTGTTTTATCAGCTTTAAAACCAGATAAATCCACGAAGCACTCCTAATATATGTCGCCATATTGATTTTTTCGCGCATGCTCCGTACAAAATGCCCAGCTGTTCTGCAATACCATATTAATTAGCTACTCTACATAATGATGCAAATATAGATAATAACTATAATATATTTAATATCAACCATTTCAATCTTATCTGCTCAAGCTAGCAGCAAGTAGGCTACACTGATTTTACAAAACTTCAAGTGATCGGAAATATCTTTTATACTCTTTTAAGGTAATTCCGCAGTAATTGATCCCGAAATGAGAATGTGCTGAAACTTCCCTGGCATGGAGTTTATGATATACTTAAATTAAAA